CCGGTGCGCCACGTTAGGGAAGGAGCGGCAGCGTGTCAGTGCGCTCTGCATTCAGCAAAAACTATAGAAATTGACCTAAAGCATCAATTTCTTTCTGTTCCCATCACCAAGACCTAGCCCTTCCCTTGCTTTTCACTCCCATCATATCTCCTTTATAGCCCTGCCACAACTGCCAGAGGGCTGTTGAGAGAGAGCATGTACGGAGAAAGCCAAGTTATTCAAACTTAACTCTATCCCTTTTCAGCACATGTCTGTCTCAGCCTTTCCACTACACTTCAGTGTCTTCCTTGTGTGTCAGGAAAGATTGCCACATGGGCCCCCTCCCACTTCCGATGAGCCCTGGCAGCAACTTGGCTCTAGGTAGAGCCACTTTCTGACTGAGTTTTGACTTCCCTCGGGGCCAGACATGCTTTGCGGTTCCAAAACGTCTTCGCTCTGAAAATCACCTATCCAGAGCTGCCACTGTGGGGGCAAGGGCCCAGTCACAGTCTTAGGGAAGATGGCTACCTGCTTTCTTACAGATTTTACCAGTAGAAAGCAGACAGAAGATGACCTCATTCCATGAAAAATGACCTAAAAGGAGTAACTACAACATTTCTCTCTTAGTCTTAATATTACACTAGAAAAGTCATAGTAAGGTGTTGTTTCTGAGCATGTCTCTCTTCTCCCACTTAGCTGAGTCCTTGACTCCACTATGAGTTGTAGCCCTTAGCAATCAGGAAACAGACCGGAATGCCATGCTGGGTTGAGCACACAGCTGACACTCATCTTGAGGTCCCAATCTGGCAAAAAAAGGCACTCCTGTGTTCCCGAAGCCATTCTGCAGGTTGGAAGGCAGGCATGCCTGCCTCTGGCACAAAGTGCTAGTGGAAAAGAAAGTTTGTTCTTGGTGGTTGGTTCTTGGTTTCACACTTAAGTGAAAAATTACGGATTTGATTTAATGTCAGTTTTTAATTTTGGTGTCTAAAACCCCACATTATTTATGAGAAAATATGCTAATGCTACGCTAAACAAAACAGATACCAATAACATTCAGAGCCTGCAATTTGACAGAATGCTAAAAATTTAGTGTTAAGACTCCTAGAACTAAATTAATAAAATATGCTACAGGCACGTAAAGCAATCACCAGCATAAATTTACTTTGTCAATTCAAGTTGGTTTATAGCATTGGACAAGTTAACTTAACTTTGGCAGAGATCAGGCTTGTTCATGTCCCTCTAATTTTCTGCCAAGTCAGGTGTCTTGGCAGCTGGCATAGAGATAATGAACTCTATAGTGTATGCCAAGATAATGTTGCAGAAACTCCTTCACATGCCCACACTGACCCAAACGCCACGTAGGACAGTGCACAGATCCATTGCTGTAGATTCTGGAACCACAGATTGAGTTGTGTCTTGCAGTAGCAGCAGCACAGCCTATTTCATGCATGTTGCGGCAAATGCTGATGTAAAACCCAAAACTAACTTCTGAAAGTAGCTGCATTGCCAGTGTTTTTCTCCATCAGAATCCGCAGCAACCAAAGTAACAGTTCTCGAAGAAAGAATTGGCACTGTGGCACAGTACTAGCTCACTCACAGTAAGAATAGGCATTAGGTAAGGTCTTACCACCATACAAGAGCACAAGAAGTTAAGTCTCCCACAGGAGTGCCAGGACATGGTCTTGTGATTTTTTTCTTCTTCAGCTGGAGTTTTTCAAGGGCTGGTCCAAAGGCCAACTGCAGCCTGCAAGGCCGCACGTGGCTCTACACACCCATTTGCCTCTGCAGTGGGCATCCTGGCCTGCAGCAAAGAAAGCCAAGTCAAGAGACGCTCTACTCCCCCCTTTTCTCCTGGCCTTGGCAGGGCTGTGGGAGTGGGGGTGCTCTTTAATCAGTCCAGGCTGAGAACAGATGCAGACAGGAAACTCATCACCGAAATTACAGGGTTGCTGCACGACAGCTTTGCTATCTCAGGGCTGCAGTCGGTAGCCTGGATTGCACAACATCCTGCCCAATGTCTCTGTTCCAAGGGCTGCCTGGGCACTTGGGAATACACCCATGGATGCTTCCAGCACTACCAAAGGACAAGAACACGCAGACTTGCCAGGCATAGCACTTTCTAGAGACCAGGTTTCAAGCACCTCAGAGACAACAGCACCTGGTAAAGGTCAGCAACACCAGACACAGATCCAGCATCCCTGAGATTCTTGTGGGAACATTATCCTCCTTCCTTAGGGTTGGTGCAAAACTCCACAGCCATTATGAATATGAACGTTCATCAAATGGGGCAAGATTCAGGGTTGACTAACAAGTATTCATATTTCCAGATAAAGAAGGGCTCGTCAGTACTGATACTGGACAAAAGGAGCCAAGTATATAATCTCAGAGGGACATGAGTATGCAATTGTCAAATATCCTCTTGGTTTCTGCAGAGAAAATATCTTACAGTGGGCTCCAGTGGAATAACCCAGGTCCTGAGAACTTTCCGATCTGCTGAAGTTAAACATAGCATATGCTTAAAAAAAATCGAGATTTCAGATTTCTAAAGTCTTAAAATACTTCTGGCATTGCAATTCTGACTCTTTTATATTCTCTAATAAGAGGAGACAGAGGTAATTATGCAACAAGTTTCATTCAGCTGCTTCCGAACTGTTTGTAGTAGAGTCTTCCAGGAGAAAATTAGTTAGTGCTGCTTTATCTCACTGGTTCCAGTGTGAGTTTCTTCTTGTGTGGACTACACCTCTAAATTATTAGCAAATACTGCTAATACTCTGACAGGTGAAAATGACACTGGAGGAAAACCTAACTTGCATTCAGCTTGCTAAGCAGTCCCAGATTAACTTTGTATTGCGTGAATTCAGACAGATGCCCTCCAGAAGACCAAAGACATCATGCGTGAACAGAACAGAAGAGCTCAAGCAGTAAAGCCTTCATGTTGAATGTGATGAGAAATAATGCAGTAAGGAGGACTCATTTATTGCAAAACTAGAAGATTGAATCCTAAATTCACAAAATGCCACAAGCTGAGATTTGCAGGAGGTTTTTAAGATGTGCTGCTAGTCAGAATGATCTTTCTCAAGTACTAAAATACCAAACAATTTTAGGAACAGAACTAAAGAACACGAAGGACTGAAACAAATACCCACACACTCTAAGAATTCACTAATAAAATGCCATTTTAATAACTTTTTACAAGGAATCCAGCTATACACTATAGAAAAATAAACACAGAAAAGACTCTTTGCAACTTACAATATAGTGATGCAGGCACACTTCAGCTGTTAACTTAGTAATAATTCCACATGAGACTGTAAAACATTATTCTTAGTGAAAAGTAATTTCCTTTTAAAATACTAAAATATAGTAAAAAGTCATATAAAAATATGATGCAAAAGCACTGCATAGACTAAAACCCCTTTATTCAGTTGCACAAGAAATCACAAGTGCCTCCGTTCACCAGGGAACAACTTAGAAGGAAGCAATAACCTGGGGGTTCGCAGTACAGATTTCAGAAGTGTTCTGATCACTTTTTTGTGTTTCGCTGGCGCGGCGATCCTGGAACTTGTCCTAAATTCAAATGAATCAAACAAATATTAGAAAACTGTCTCTATTATGAAGCAACAGGGTACAGTTAGCAGCATGTAATTTCCCCAATGTGCTACATACGAACTACGCTGGCAGCAATTACTGTTTTCATGAGCCACCTAAGAACAATACAAAAGAAGATTTGAAAGCTTACGAGCCTGCCAGGGCAAATGTTCACACTAAGGTCAGTGTTCATACAGGCATATTTTACACACAACGGGAAGACTGCTTCATTCAGGTCTTCCACTCTTGGGATGATTCAGTATGCATCCTTTTGCTAGACTACGTATTTTATCGGAGTATTTTAAAGCTCATTATAAACTGGAAACTTGTTTTGCAAAGGTTACAAAAACATTCCTTAAAATTCTGCTATATACTGAAAATTTGGAAAATGAAAGGCACTTTCCTCAAAGCTGTGAATGAATTCCAGTTAGGTATTCCAAACTTGACATGAAACAAAGTACCTTATCCTATGAAATGCTGTCAAATTTCAGTTTCAATTTTAGAACCAAAACAAATTCAAACAAACAACAAAAAAACTATTCACTCTTACCTCTGAAGAACTGAACTTAGTAAAAAAAAAAAAAATCATTCTTGGACTAGTTTTAGATATGACTCATGAAAAAGTTAAGTTTCGTTTCAGAGACATACCTTACTTATTCCTCCTTCCCCTTTCCCCAGAAATTTTGATTAAATTTCTCTTGACATTCTTTAATTGTTAGGGGATATGTAGGAGACACTTACAAAAAGAAGCACAAACTGGTGAGAGCTCTGAGGGGTAGCAGGGTTCTCTTACCTGGTTGCACGCCGCCTAGTCTTTGCTGGATAACCTCTAAGCGATGAATGTATTCAGTGAGCGATCGTTCAGGATCCTGAGTAGTTGCAAGTGACTTTTCTGAAGCTGAACTCGTGGATGGATGCAATCTTCAAAGGAAAACAAATTGTTTCTTTTCTTAAAACTCTGGTCATCACTTAAATATAATAAAAGTAAATTCATATAGCCACACTAATTCAATGCAAAGCAAACTAGAATATCAGCACGAAGTTATGTATACCTGGATTTAAAACAAGAGAATAAAGACTGGACAGCTTTTGTGTAAGCGAGTCAAAAAGAAAAGGATGTTTTGATAAAAGGTGGAGGATCTCAAGCCTACTGCACTGATAAGCACTGCTAAGTCCCACAGGTAAGAAAGCGTCAGTCAGAGAAACTCCAAGTGGCCTAGTGTGGAAAGAACTGTTTCTAAGGAGAAGGACTGAAAAAGCCTATCTGCACCCAGGTACCAGCCCTCCTGCTTCAGCAGGTAAAAGATCATCTAGAAGGTATAATTCAAAAAAGCTCAGGGAAGCACTCAGATGTTAAGCTGAGGAGTGGTGTGGGAGAGGAAGGCACGCTATGGACTATGCAAGACTAGAGGTTACACTGGATACAACAAGATTTGGCCCTCAAAAAGGACTAGCAGACATAACCACTGCAAGTGCCTTAGTGTGTTCAAGTGATACTTTTGGGAGTATCACTAGGAAAATTCTCTGTCCAAGATCATCAGATGCTCAAAACAAACAGGATTTTTCTTCTTCCTGTAGCATCTTGAAACAAATGAAACATTTATCAGATCTGTGAAAACACATTCCACTTCTTGAATCCCGCAATAAGTGATTAGATTTTTATGAAAGCCTGTCCATCAGGATGATTAAATATAATGCAGCGATTACACACTGACCTGTTATGTAACCAGTAAGAGGATCTGGGGGAGGAGCTCAGAAATCTTGCAGAGCTGGTTTTGTGGCATGATCCAGTATCACGGGTTGGAGGAGAGTTGATATTAACAGCTGGGAACTGCTGCTGTTTCAGAATTTCTGTTCTAGCACCAGAGACTGTATTAAACATAAAAACAGTTAAAAAGTCTGCACTGCGTACCATTCAAAGCAGACTATTAAAAATACAATCAATGAAAACCTACAAGACATACAGCAAAGTAAGGTTTTGTGTAGTATTAAACACAGCTATATAAAACACATTATAGATGATTGCTTTTTGCCAGAATTAACAGAAGTTAACAGAAGTTCAACCCTTTCTTGTTCAATAAATGTTTCCTGCAAACTGGAAACACTTCCAGTGTTTTCTTTCCCAGACTTGCATTTTCATCACCTGTTATTATATCTGCACAGGAGACATCCTGATGACTCACAGGAACAAAACAATTTTTTTAGGAAATCCTAATACCTGTTGTGTGCTCTAGCTATAAATATAACTGTTGACTTGTACTCTCCTCTTCTTAATGCAGGAGAGCAGGTAGGGAAGGGAAGTTTAAAGTACTTCACATTAGTCCTTTAAATCACCAAAAGAAATGAAATAAATTTTAATGAGGCTGCCAAGATGCTACTTTCTGGTAAAAATAGCTTGGAAGTAAAAAGCTTGGAATGCATTTTAGGAACCATATCACAGAATTACATTGGATTTTTCTTTTTTCTTTTTTTTCTTTTTTTTTTTTTTTTTAAAAGTATTTCAATTAAAAGAGATTGAAGAGACTAAGTTTTTCACATATGTAAGGTGATGAAAATTGCACTTATACATCTATAGTATGTGTAGGGTTGAAAAAGCCACAAGTATAGTATAATGGAGCATTACATATAATGGAATACTGCATATAACATAAATACCATTGTGTTATATTTTAATATATTACACAAACACATCCATAAGGAATTAAAAGGAATGAAGCCATTACCAAACTGCATCAGATCACACATTTGGCAGCTCTGGTTTGCCATCTATGGTAACAGTAAATAAACTCTAGAAAGTATTTGTTGAATATCTGTCATCAGATGAAGTCTCCTCTAAATTTCTGGAACCATTTAATACTTTTTTACCTCCAGCAACACAAACACAAGCATCCCATCTAAGGCTTCGGTGTTTTTGATACTTCATGTACCAATTTTGATACCATTACACCAGGATTTCTCCTGGCTTTATAAATAACTCATGGCAGTAATTTCCATTACGGGTAGCTTCAAACTAAGGGAAAACAATTTTCTGATCAGTTTTATGAACATAATGACGCTGTTTCACAGCTTGAGCAGTTGTAATAAAGAGTTGGCTGCTGCTGAAGTAAGGTTTGCAAGTTTTCAATTATAAGTTTTTACAATGTCATTGTAAAGTCAAAATCATTAGGTATAGGAAGCAAATTTCTGGTTTAAAAATGTTACTACTTCTGTGCAATTTTTGTTTGTTTTTTTCAAATCAAGCACATTACTACCAAGAAATTAGAATTAAAATAACATACTTGTTCAAAACCCTTACCTGGATTACCTCCTGTACTGTGAGAGATGGCTTCACCCTGTGTGCTCTTTCGGTTAACTTTGTTCCACTTTTTCACCAAAAACTTTAACCTGGGTAGTAAAACAAATTTGTACAACCATTAAAAACAAAACAAAATGTTTTAACACTAACATTTTATTGATAATACTAATGTTTCAATGTTTATTAATTCATGTTTCACTTTGCTAGTGTGAAATGTCTTCAACAGAATAATGCAGCAAGCCTTGCAGGAATGGAGAAAAACCAGGAGATTTCAGCTTGGGTCTACAGAATTAAGTTATAGCCTATACTATCCTATGATACAAACGATGTTTTTTTCATGGATGAAGCCTACCAGGAAGATGGATCTATGCATCTTAAGATAACGACAGGTAACAATGAGCCCAGAAAGATCAAGGTGATACTTGAAAAGATATACAGCTGTAACTGTCATTCCCTGTTTCTCAGATATAATACCACTGCATCTATCTCAAAAACACAGAAGCAACTTTTTTTAAGTTTTCATTTTAGCATTCATCAAACTTAGCACTGACTCAGAGGCAGTAGTTTGGCCACGGTTATGTTTAGTTAGTCACATCTGAACTTGTTTTGAAGAAAAAAATCATTTTAAATAAAGTATTAACATGAAATGCTGCAAAAAAAATCAGAGGAATAAACTGGAAATTCTCTCTTTATTTGTTTTAATATATCCAAGCAAACTGCATGAGAGTTTTGCTCTCACTGCGTTTTGTTTTTACCTTGATACAGCGATGATCGCCCTGACGGCACATCGAAACTTGGTAAAAGGGCGGGAGCGTGAATCAGAAAGCTGCAGGTCTGCAGGTGAGGGGTAGATTCCCATACGTGCTATGAGAGAGAGGGTCGCTTGCTCGCAGTCCTGAAATCCACCAAGAAGCAGCAAGAGGTATTTCTTCTGATAAACCAGAGCCTTCCTGAAGCTCTCTGCTCGCAGATACTTCCTATATAATCTCTGCATCTAGTGGTGGGTAGAGAAGAGGGAAGGAGGATATTAGACTCTAGCAGTTTGGAAGCCATATATAAAAGTTTGTGTACATCTATGAAGCCTTTGCTAGGCTAAGGAGTCTTGCTGACAGGAGAGCAACTGGAACAACCTCTGTACCCAGGGTTACGGCTAAATTAAAACGCTTTAAATTTTCTGAAAGTTTCAGAGCAAAATTCTCGTATCTGAAACTCTGACATGGTTTTACTCTTTAAGGATTAAAGCAGAAGTTTTTGTCTATTAAGTATTAACCAGAAAGCATATTGGGATGAGCACTCCTCTAATTTCCTTATGATCAAATTTCTCTTAAACGTAAGAAAAGATTAGGAAGAATTTTTCATGATTTTGCACATAGAAGAGACATATGCATCTCTCAGTATTAGCTGTAGAAAGACCCCAAAGAGTTAAGGTCACTTTTCATAATAAGTTTCTTTCTAACACCATGAAAGTTATAAAGGAACTTCTCCGATAAGGGATAATTGGGGAACAGCATTCCCAATTTAATTTGCAGTTTATAATGACATTCTCTATAATGACATTCATCTTTTTAAAAGGCAACTGAAAGGACTGTGGCAATAAGGGAAAGTTAAATGTCATAATCCAACAGTTACTTCTGTCCTCAGGAATCTGAGCTGCAGACTTCCAGGCTCCTCTGCAGCAGCAAGTTTTATCATATTTATAATAAAGAAAATTCAAATGGAGCCTAAAATAGAACTACTAAATTGCTTAACTTACTCTAGATGTGACATTAATCACTTAGGCAATACCCCCGAGTGATGATACCAAGGACAGAATTCTCCAGAGGTTTATATGATCTTGAGCTGGTAACAGTTCTCTCTCAAATTTATTTTGCAGCAAGTCTGTTCAACAGGCAGGACACTGGAAGGGAAGCACTATCATTTTACCTTTGGGCTGGAAGATTCTACCCCTGGCTTGTTTTCAGTTTCAGCAGTAGCTTTAGCCAATTCAGACTCTGCCTGTTTCAAGGCATTTTGCAAAATGCTTTTTTCCTGCTGCCAGGCAGCTCTTTCCAGTTCTTGAAGAGAATCGATGTCATCTGGCACTCTGGTCTGAAAGGGAAACCCAAGGAAAGTGAGCTGTGATTGCCCTTGCATGCTACTTCTTCAGGCAAACATCTCAAACTGAAAAATAATCTAATTTTATAGAGAAACTAGTACATAAAAAACAGTAAGATGGAAATCAACAGCATTGTCCAGATGTTAAATCGTATGGGAAAATGGGAAGTAAAAAAGCAGTCCATGTTTAAAAGTTATGTTAATCAAATTGCAGATCCATTCACTATAGACCTGTCAAACCAGTTTTACAGGGATCCTGTACATTTTAATGACAGCAGCCCCCCAGAGAGTTAGAAATGGAAATAAACTTATTTTCTTCCATGTGTGCAAGAATTTTTTTTTAAAAAAGTAAAAAATGGAAGCATCCACAGGAGTACGCTTTAAAAAATGCATTCATATCTGTTTAGTTTTGCAGTTAGTCATCTCTTGTAGGAATGAGACCCACAAATTCAGGTCCAGCTCTTGGGGAAAGTTCTGTCTTCATATCCTTCTTCATATTGATCATCAATGTAATGGTCAGCAGTTATATGAATGGATGATGCAGCAGATCACAAGAAAAAAAAATAAAGCTATTTTCTAGGTGATTAGTGTTTTATTTCTTGAAATGAAGTCTATATATTAGTGGCACAAGTACATAGAGCCAAAGCCAATCTCTCCTAATAACTTAATCTAGGAAAACATATGAGCGGTTTTAAGAGGTTTGAACTTTTTCAGGATATTCAAGTTGGTTATTCCTTTCTTTCCAAGTTAAACTCTTGCCCTGTACTCACTAGGTAAATAATAGTTGTTCTATAGGTTATCAGTATAGGTTATCTGTAAGTTATCCTGTGAATAAAAGTGAATTCAAAAGCTATGTTTTTGAGGTGTATTTTCTACCAGTAGACCTTGGTTTGGTCTTTGATAATTATCTGTAATACTGCTAATCTCCCCGCTTGAGAAGACAAATCATGACTGCTTTTTGCAAGTTACTTGACAATTTGTTGAAAATTAAGTGTCTCTGGATGCATAGAGAGCAGGAGGCAACACATCCCAGGACTTGATATCCTCCTTTATAATCTTGATATAGTACATGGTTAGGATAAAAAAACACCTGCAATAAGCAAACTCTGTGATATAGCAAAAAGCAGACATCTGCTACTAAAACTTGCTGATAGAAAGATGGTAACGATACAGGAGTTTCCTCTCCTGCTTTTTTTCCCTCTCATTTCCAAAAGACGACAACAATTTCTCTAAAGTTTTCCCAGTAATCACCAGAACCCCCAAAATACAAAGCACATCTCATATGTACAGGAACCCACACGATACACAGGAACTTACTGATAACCAACATATATCTGCCATTTCCTTACCAGAGGTGCCGGAGGAGATAATAAATTTGATTTTACTTCCTTTAATGTCTGTAGTAAAGAGGCTACAGCTTCATCATTCGATGCAGACCAATCATTAACTGTTCTGTTAAACAGAAATAATTTTTCAGCCTTAGGTTCATTTGTAGAAATTTCACATTACACTTATTCCCCCTACTGGGTAATGTTTTTATTTTCCGATGTGTCTTAAAGTACTATTTAGCACACAACACTAATGGACACGCACAGAAATTGGCAAATTTTACTCATTTTTAGTAACAAAATTTCTAAATAATGATGCATAAGGATTTTATCAGAAGTTGGCTGTTTCACACCAGTGTCAAATTCCATCACACTATTTCAGGCTGTGACAAACCACCCATATTTTACTCTAGCAATAAAAGTTACTATCACCTACTGAGTCATTCCTGTCCCCCAGGCTTCCCAAGCTCAGTGTAGGTTCCCATCCTGATCCTGCAGATATGGGGATAACCTGGTTTTTGACAGCTCTCTATTTGATTTGGCACAGTTACCAGTCTAACACACAACTGTTTCACAAGGCTTTTTTCACAGTGGTTTTTTCACAAGTCTAACACATTTTTCACCAGTCTAACACATGTTTCACAAGGCTTTTTTCACAGTGGTTCTTTGGAAGCAGGACCATGTCCCTGGTCCACCTGAAAAGCAGGCACGCAAGCACTTCCAGCAGTACAACGAACATTCAACCCCAGAAGCTGCTGACAGGAATGGCTAAAGCAGCACGATAGCAACCTTTCAAACGGAGACTGCTACTACCATACAAACACGATTTCAAATCAGATAAATCTTCTAAGCACCCAAGGAAATGTATCACTGTTTGTTCCCTTCAGTATGGGGCTTTTGGCCGTGACCTAGGTTCAAAAGCAGGACAGAAACTTCTGTTACTATGTTATAAGTAGTGTTTCAATAACTACTCACTTATCTATAGTTTTATATATGAACTCGTTCAGACGGACAGCTACAAAAAGCAGCTGCTGTCTTATCTTCTCTAGCTGTTGTTGCTGCTGTTGCAAGTGCAGCTTTTCAGCTGCTTTCGTCACAGCCTGTTTGGCATTTCGATCTCTGTTCAAAGCATGCAAAACTTCTTGCTGAGAATTTGGAGGTGGAAAGTTTCTTTCTCTTTCTTCTAATAATGCCAGTATTTCCTGCAGCTCTTTGATCCTGTGCTCATCCCTCTGGTGTTGCAGTTCCAATTTTTGCTGTATAAATAGAAATAAAAAATAGTGACTTGCAACTTAAAATATTATACATATACACACCACAACACACACTTTTATATATATACACAGTACTTCTTAAACCCATGGACCACTCAGAAGAGGAAGATTATAGAATTATCTTCTCTTGAAGCCCTTTAATGATTCTGGATTGGGGCTTCTGGGGGTCTCTCAAACTTAATGACTGGCAAATTGCCAGAGAGCCAGTAACCACCCCTTTTTCTCTAATGAAAGTGAGAGTGCCAAGAAATAAAAAAACAGGGAAAATTGGTACTCTCACAAACCAAAATTAGAGCTCAAAGTAAGCATAAAGGTATGAAACCTTGTTTGCTTCCGTATTGCCTTTAAGCCATATTCAACTAGGAGTCTTCTCCATCTGTTAACAACCAGCATTGCCCAGCACAGGCAAGGAAATAAGTCAGTGTTTATCAACCACAAGCCCACAACACAGCTGTATATAGAGAAATTCAGGGAAACAGCTTGTCTAATGCATTCTTCAGAACACTTTGTTTAAGGGAAGGAAATATTTGAACTTAGGACCACCATCCACAGGGTTAATTTCCAGTCTGTGGCTATTTCAATCAAGAGGGAGATTTGACCAGGTGTTCTCACCAGTCTCTCTTGATCTCTCTGCCAGTCCTTCTGCTTCTCTACTTCCGTTTGCTGCTGCTGCCTTCTCTCTTTCTCTCGCTCCTCTTTTTTGTCCTTATCTTGTTCCTTCATTGTCCTGAAGAGCGACTGCAGTCGTTCCCAGTCGGCTTTTAGCTTTGCCTCTCTCTCCCTCTGTGCCTCCAAGGAACGGATTACCTCTTGCTTTTGGCTCTGAAGAGACTCCAGCGTAGCTCGCAATTTCTTGCTGATCTCCCTTTCCTTCTGGGTTTCTTCGCAGCACATCTGCATCTCAGCCTCCAGTTGCCTCTTGGAAAGAATGGCCTTCTGATGCGTTTTCTCAATGATAGCAGCAAGCTCCCTGGTTCGGGACCTCTCCTCCTCCAGCTGGGCCTGGAGCTCTCGCACAAAGGCTTGCTCTAATAGTGACTCCCTGTGCTGATAAGCAGCACTGTCTTTGGCTCTCATGCTCAACTGCTCCGTCAGGATGCGTTCATGATTCAAGGAATTCAGGAGCTCCAGTGAACGGTTCTTCTCAGCGTCCAAATTCTTCTGCAGCTCGGACAGTTTGCTCTGCTCTCGGGACAGCAGAGCTTCACAGCGCGAGTGTTCGATCTGAAGCTCCTTGCGGAGGTTGTCGTTCACCGTTTGCTCATGCTCCAAGGACACAGACAGCTGACTGTTGTGGACGGCCTGCAGTTCCAAGGCAGCCTGCAGCTTCTGTTCAAAAGAGAGAAGTGCATATTACATTCTAGCCTGAGGATTCATTGGCAGGGCAGGAAATCTTTCAGCAATGTTTCAACTTTCTGCTTTACCTGGGAAGAAATTCAGGAGTTAACAGTATAGATAAAGCACTGAAAAACTGAAAAATGGAAGATAATTGACCTTTGAAAACGCCTGCTATACCAGACCAGTTTCTAATTACAAGTGTCAGCAGCATGCTTGTTACCATCATGATAATAAAGTAACAAACCAAAGGAGGGGGTGGGTAGGGAAATGTTGGTTTAAAAATAATTGAAAATCTCAGCAATTAAAGTAGGTGTTAAACCTCTGAGTTTGACAGCCATTTGTTCAAAGAAGGCAGCACAGGCCGATAACAGTCCATCCCTTGCTCTGTCATGCCAGCTAACATGTTCTCGTTGACCTTTCTGCAGCAGAAGGCAAGAGACAACCCCACAGTGGCTGGAAAAGCTCAGAATTAGCAGTACTCTACTCCTGCCAGGGGCTTTTGCACCCTCCCTCTGATCAGCACCCGCTCTCATCTGCTGCTGCAGAAAGCCAGCTCAGACTATCAGGCAGCAGCAATCTGGCACACGTTGGCACCATTGGCTTTCTGCAGTGCTGGGCAAAGGAAGCATTTGGGAACGGAGGACTGTGGCAGCACAGACCAGGAACAGTTTAATCTGTTGTAGAACTGTTATCTATGGCAGTGCAATTGCTGCATGCCTTGGCTAAACTGGTCTCTTTGTGGAACACACTATGGAAGATGCGAGTCCCATGCCTACGACTCGAGCAGGAGAAAAAAAGTAAGACCACCTATCAGAAATGTAAAGGGCAATTCCCCTCTGTAAATAAGAGGGCAGGCCAAGAAAGTGAGTCAAGACTGTGCATCCCCATTGAGGACATCTAACAAAGACTGTTTTGAAGACATCTGATACAGTTTGCTTTGATTTAAATTCACCAAAGGTTTATATGTTAGATCATCTTTCTTTCACCACCACCCTGCCTTTATTTTTTTTTTATTTTTTTTATTTTTTTTTTTTAGAAAAACATACATTTATGGGTCTTCAGCAAGGACTGAGTCATGATAATATAGGAGAAGGCTGCTTTGTGTTCAACCCAGAAAAAAGGGAACAAAGGAGAAGGGAAAAAAAAAGTTTGGTTAACCTCCAAAAATATATGCTACATTGGAACGGTTCAGGTTCTTTTCTGCCAAGTACATATATCTGAGTGATTTTCTTTACAGTCCAACATTTTGCTAGTTCACCTCCCTCAGTTCATGAAGTTAACTGGATTAGAAGCATTATGATGTAGGGAATTACCTCCAAGGCCTTTGTCTTTTCATCTTCTGCTTTCTTATGCTGAAACTGTCGTTCCTCAAACAAACGTCGCAGCTCTGCTTCCTTCAGCCGTTCGCTCTGCAGATCTTGAAGTGCAGCTGTCAAATCTTGTTCTTTCTTTTCCAATTTAGAACTGCAAAATTCAAGATGACAATGCAAACTGTGCACAGACCAGATCATCCTTCATTAGTGATACAAGCAAGCCATGCTGAATTGCTTTTTTTCAGTTGGTCTATTGGCTCGTTTCCCTACGATGACCTCTGCTATACAGAAAGTCAGTTTTCCAGTTACAGCTATTTAGAACCTGAAAACAGCTTACCTCCCTGCACACAAAACTAGAAATTCCCCTCTTCTTCCTCTTAAAGTACAGTTATAAACTAACTACCTGGCAAAGCAAACCTGGTAAGAGGAAAGAAAAACATTGTTGTGAATAAGAGGGAGGAAAACCATACAAGACTAAAGGTAAACAGAAGTAGTTTAGAGCTATGAGATGTGTAAAGGCCTAGGAGAAGAGTTGCAAGACAACTGTGTTTGTCCAAGCTCTAATCCATTTGCTGACCCAATAAGTATAAAGCTCTTTTGGATCTGCCAAAGCACTCTCAGGAAAGAAAACCCGAAATAAACAACTAAACAAATAAACAAAAACCACAAGAACTACAACAAAAAGTCCCAAACCAGAAGAAAATAAATAAATAAACCCCCTGCTTCTTACCAGCACTGGTTTATTTCCCTCTGAAGCTCTTCTAGAGAGTTTTGCAGCCTTTCATTCTCTCGCTTACTTTCACAAAGCTCCAATTTCAGGGCTGATACTGCAGCTTGCTCTTGTTTCAAGAGTTCACATGTTTCAGAGGCTCTGTTCTGCTCCTCAGCCAGGGTGCTCTGCAAGCCACTTACAATAGATTTTTCCTGCTGCAGCTTGTATTCTAATAATTCAACTGGGATAAGAAAATTTTAACAATCATTTGCATTACAGAGCACATGGCAACATGGTATCAGTTATGCTGCTTCAAACTGCAGGTAAATTAGGTGGACTAAAGCATTCTTGTCCAGAGGCTTAGTTTCTTTTCAAAGATTGTATAGATAAGCAAAAAGATGCACCTATACACATCACAGCTTTGCTGTTAGTGGGCCAGGCAAAGCAAGAAGGATATGAAAGCCGGATGATGCTACTTGGGGAACTGTAATATACTCCAAATAACCTGTTACTAATGGATTTTAAGCATCATGAAGCAAAATCATCCATTTACTAACCAAAATGTATACACAATATCCCCTGATAATCATCAAGGGTTTCTGATCATCTTTCTTGGGTTTTCTGGATGTATACATTGGTTGACAAAGAGTCATCCTTAAAAAAACATTGCTTTGAGTTACTTTAAAGCTTTTTGTCATCTTTCACATAGACTTATCTTAACCACCAACATTAGAAAGAAGAAAGATTTCTCTCTTCCTCTGTTAAAATCTTAGGAGGGAATTAAAGTATTGCATAGCACTTGTTTCTTTGCAGAACAACTTATTTTGCCTTTTATCTTTTTAGGCAATAAAGGAAAAAAAAAAAAAAAAAAAAAAAGAGAGAAGCCCAGGTGACAGGAGCTCGATGATTACTACCTTTTCTCCGAAGCTGGTGTTCCTGTTTGCTCCCATGATCTTCTGCGTTAGTAAGAGTTTCCTGTAACTGCTGCAGCTTCTCCTGGTTCTGAAGATGTGTCATGCGTAGCTGAGCTCGAAGGTCCTGTATTTCGGAAAGCAAGCTATTCCTGTCCGAGGAGAAAAGGTGCTCTACAACCATCTGCCGCTGTTCCTCCTGAAAAGGACCCAAGTGCCATTAAATCTGCAAAGCTATTCCTATTTTTTCCTACAAGAATAAAGCCTGGAGAACCCTTTGCATAAGTAGTTTTATAAAAAGGCAACTTCAAATGATTATGTTGATGTCCCATTTTAATTCAAAACTTTAAGTAACACAAAAAACATTTAACTGGCTTCCAAATAGCCTGTTATTAATAATAGTTTACATATAATAGTTACTACAAACCATCTGGCCTGCAACTAAAAGCTCAATACTGTAATGAAACAATCCTAAATATATTCAGGGTCTGTGCAAAATACACACTTGCAAGAGAAGTTTGTGATGCTCCAAGTGGAAGTCTTCCTCCAGCCTACCCGCTTCAACAATTATTTCCTTTTCATTACCACAATCTCCTGATCACTACTTTCTCTGGCTGTCAAATATAACAATCAATAGATTTTATAATACAACACACATGAAGCCTGAGAAAAAATGGACCCAAAATAAAGATTATAAAAGCACATCAATATAACACAATCTGGATTAATGTGCAAAGTGTAGCATTTAGGAACAAATGTTCTAAAACTGTAAAACTGCAGCATCCATGCGTTATGCCCATATGCACTCTTAAAATAATATATGGTGGAATAGAAGAAGAGATTTATGAGCATAATACTTTAAGAGGTTTTCTTACTTGTTGTTTCATAATATGCTCCAGTTTTTCCATTAATGAACCTTCATCACCAGAGCCAGGATTGCAGAAGTGAGACTTTAAGTCAATTTGTAACACATTTCTCTCCTTCTCAAACACACTGTGTACTGCTTGGAGAATTTCTCCTCTCCAGTCAGTGGTATTATCCAAATGCTCCTGCAGAAAACAAGCATACTTATCGGCATCTGTAGCATCAATTGCTAACTTGCAACCCATGTACAGCCCTCCCAACACCTTTTACATGGCCTGCAACTGTAAAGTGTCTTTCATATAATTACTGCATAAAATTACCTTGTAATTTAAGCAGACTAGAAGGTGTTAGAGACGCCTGTTCAAACCTCAGAAAGAATCCCGTTTCTTCTGCTCCTCATACATGCATTTTGTATGTTTTTATACCTATTTTATACATACAATTCTTTATATGTATGTATGTATGTATAAATAAAGAATTGGTAACCAAGGTCTAAAGGGCACAAGTCATCTCTGTTGTGATACCTTGTCGCCTCTGGCTGCTACCTTGCTAAGGTAATCTCTCAGTGACTGTATAGCATCCAGAAAAGCTCTGCCTTCCTTCTGCCATCCCTCCACAGCTGCTCCACACGGATTAATGCTTTTCTGGTCCCCAAGATCAACAGGATGCTCCGACAAAGCCAATATCTTGCGGCTCTCTTCATATACCATCTTCAGTACCATCTAGGAAGGAAGAAAATGCACAGTATTAGGAGACAAACATCAACACCTCAACAGCGTACGAGTGCGATGGCACAACTGGACAGCGATATGAAGGAGGCCGTCCCAGGCTGCAATCTAGATAGAGGCACACAGTTCTGCCCTGCCATGCGACACAAAACATAAGCATCATTTATTAAGCAACATTTACCAGAGAACATTATCTCCTAACCAATAAGCCTGGTATTTAAGAAAACAGTCAACACACACAACATCGAAGTACAAAAAGCAGCCTACACCAATGTATCTTACTGCTGTGCAAGTCAAAATGCAAATCTGCCAAAGTGCTGCTATTTTACCTCTGTTGTTTTGGAACTTTGCTGGCCATAAACCAAATTTTATCAAGTCTGAAGTAAACCCCAGTGATGCTAGACAACCCTCAGAAGCTAAAAAACTGAATTTCATATTTAGACAACCTTGACTTATTGTAGCCAATTACATGGAAATAACAGCTCCCAAAGTAATCTGTCTAGATAATTTACTCAGTGGAAACTATTTCCTCTGACATTGTCAGGCAAAATAATCTCTTTTAAATAAATTCCCTGTTTACAATCTATTACATCATGTGCAGATGTTTCCCAGTCTCATTCCAAGGAAGGTCACAGGAGATTAGAGTCCTTTACTGCGTAGATCTCATCCAAAATATCCCAGCCTCAATGCAGAGCTCTCTCTATGCTACTTGCTTTTATAACAACAATACCAAGAGATTTTCTTTAACTCTTTGCATTCATACTTGGCACTTTATTGAATGACTTGAGTTACAGTTTCTGTAACTGGAGTCAAAATAATGACTACATCAGGAGGCAATGCCAAAACATGCTACACCTCAGTAAACATTAACAATGGAAGCAGTTTCAAGACTTCAATGTGTTGCTGGCTAAATACTCAACACCTGAGTCTGAGTGCTCAGACCTCACTGTCACTAGGTCTAGACTGATGATCCATGAAAGAAATTGAAGAAGAAATAATTCTCTGGCTTTTCAGGTCTCTCTTCATTTTGCCAAATAGCATAAAGTCCATTATACATTCTGGAAGGCAGTTTATAGCATAAGCTTGGCAATTTATAATATAAAGGCAGCAGCTAACCTCATTTTACATTAGCATTTCACTTCTACTGTTTTAGTCTAAATTCCTTGGAATGCTCACATTAATCACATATTACCTTCAGCTGTGGTGAAAGTATTTCTTTTTCTCTCATGGACTCCACAATATCTGGAACTATTCCCCGGTACTGCAGATAAGCCAAGAAACTAGGATCTAGATGGTCAGATGCGTCCAGTTCCTGCTTTAGTTTAGCTGTCAAACTGGAGCTGTTATCTAAAGAAAAAGACATCCCAAAATGTTATGAATCTGAAAGGAATTTAAAACTAGTATAAACACTTGTAAAAACAACCATGATTTCTCCAGCTAGTACACATGAAGGGTCATCTGAAGTTAGATAGTTGAGGTTTAACCCTAGATTCACTAAACTAACTGAAACAAGTAAAAAGGTAATAAATTGCCTTTAGCACTAGAGAAAATGCTGCAAGTAAGTCAGGAATTGCTAAAACCCTGTGCTCCTTTTCCACATGTAAGGATGAAAAGTTAAAAGGAGACTTCCTTTAACATGGATATAAAAGTCTTTCTAAGCAAACCAGAAACCTGGTGAAAAGTACACCAACAAAAGATTGACAAATGAAAGACTATGGAAGAAAGAGACAGCATTACAATATTTTTGAGACTGAAGTTACCCGTAGGAGAAAAGAAGCAATAAACAACATTAAACTTACTGCTGCCAAATCCATCACTTGCCATCTCTACGGCTGATGCTGTTGATCTTGTGTCATCTTGCAAATCAGATGGGGTTAAAGTTAGATTATCAGTTTCTCTCACCTGTTTGGAAATAATTTTTAGTATTAGTTTTGTGAATCCTGCTGTAGAGTTTTCTGCAATCAAAACCACCTTGTCTCTGGTGTAAATTTTGACAAATATCTTCTTGAGCACAGTGTTACAGACAGGAAATACCATGATGAAACAAAACTAGAGCTTCTCCTGCCTTTTTTGCCCCCCTCACTTATTACAGTCTTTCGAATCTTCCTTTGAACAGATATTCCTTTTAACTATTTTTGAACTGCAGGAAAATGAAAGGAATATAAATATTACATATATGACTTGTAAGAAGAACAAAACTATCTTTTGTAACATGAAAAGCTCTGTTGCACAGTAAATGAGGAAATGCTCTCATCAAGGTGTGAAAAAAAAGTCTCTGCTTAAAGTTCTTCACTGGTTGTCTGCTGGGGTGTACTGGTGACTTTAACCTTAACGATACCTCATGATGGGACTCAAAAAAAAAAAAAAATCAAATTGAAATTTTACAACATGCCTGCTAGTGCTGCAGGATCCAAAAGATTCTTCATTTTCAATTCAATAAAGGTTGCATTTTTCAATATGCAATTTTAATTATTATTCGGTTCACACCCAAACAACTCAATATTAGAACTTCACCTATTTGAGATAGTCCATAGGTATAATGCTAAAAGTGAATTTTCGATGGCCAGGTTTCCTTTTTCTGTCGGAATGGCACTCTGCATAACGCACCACCTTCTTAGGAGGTAGATTAGCCCTGTATGAGCCAGCAAACCCAAACTAGCCCAAATGCATCACAGGTGGCAGCCCACGAGCGAGCTACATCAGCTACAACTAGACTGAGGTCAAGAGGAACAAGTGGACATGCCCTAACTTTCTGGATTAATGCAAGGTTCAGCTTCACAATGCATTTGCACCAAGCCAGCTATCAGTTCCCACCAAAAGTGAAGATCCTGCACCCCTTTCCTGACCTGTAGCTGTCACATGCTGCTTCCTTCTTTGGGAGATCATGCAAACATGCAGCTGCCCAGCAATTCAGGCTAGCCTGAATTAATGAAAGTTCAACCCTTCTTAATCAGTTTTCATCTAAAAGAGCTGAAAAGCTCCAAAGAGTGAAGCAAGTTGAGCCAAACTCCTTTGGTTCCAAGAGTTCCAGAACCAGCCCAGGGTGGAGTCAGGAAGGCACAGGCCAGAAATGAGGGAAAGGGGCAAAATAAATCCCTTCCTTCCAGCAGCAGGCTGACTGGAGTTGACAAGACACAGCACAAACTCACCACCTTGGTCAAATTCAAAGTGTCTTTTCATATGGATCACTAATTTTCCTTCTGAGTTTTGTCATTAAAAATACCCTAAGGCAGCTAAAATCATCTGTAACACAAGCGGAGCTTCTAGGCATACTGTAAAGCTATTAATAATAATAATAGAATCTTCTAACCCGACTCCTGTGATTCTTAGAAGCAGAGCTGTATAGACTTCATCTTCCCATCAAATGATGCAGGCATGAGTACATAGAGCATTTCCATCAAAACAAACAAACAAAACAAAAAACCACCCCCCCACCCGCCCAAAAAAACCAAAACAAAACAAAAAAAAAAACACAAAGACAATTTTTGTAAGACAATTTTGTCTTACACTCTACCACACGGATGGAAAGCTTTTACAGTTCACCAAGAGCCATGGTTAAAAATTAAAATAAATAAATAAAATAAATAAAGATTTTGTTCGGCTATGAACATCTGAAATAATAACATAAATTTATCAACCACTAGAAGGAGTAGTAAACGACGTTTTAATACAGCTCAGAGTTTGGTCTAATTCTCTAATGAGGGAAGAGCCAATAGATGATTGCACATCCTGAAAGATACTGTACTGCCTCTTGTCAGTGTCTAACACTGACACCCAATGGCCCAGAGATAATCTAGGAGGGGGACAGGCCAGTCTTGTCTGAATAGAATAAAACGAAACACGAAATATAACTTACCAAAATTTTCTCTATATCGTGGTCATCATCAATAGAATAGGTGCTTTCAGAGAAAACCAGAGATTTCACATCTGCTCCCACTGCTGCTTCCTCACTGCCATGTTCATACAGATTTGGATATCCCACAAATCCAGGAGTATCTTCTTGCATTGATGACCTTGTGGGCATCATTTCAAAGTCCGTGCTATCCACTTCTGTAAAGGGAGTCAAGTGAAGCACTGAGTGAAGTTCCATGCTTGTATCCTGCTTTCTCACAATCTCAGGTGACTCCCATGAAGTCATATCCACAATTAAATCCTGGAAGTCTTTTGGAGTGCCTTTATAACCTATGATCAAATTGTGTTTTGGCGAATCAAGAGTTTGACGGCTTTGCAACATTTGATGGCAAGACTTTTTCAAATCTTCCCGCTTTTCAGAGTTATTGACCACGTTCGATTCCTGAGCCGAGACCTTTTCTTGCAATTGTTTAATCTGAGATTCCTGAGTTATATCGTGAACTGTTAAGCCACCTCTGATGTTATCCTTTTCCTACAAGGAAATAACACATACTAATTGCTCAATGGAATTAAATTTTATTTTACAAACTAAAAAAATGCATTTAAAAAAATCTCTCAAAATTAATAATCAGATTTATTATTAGCCTCAGGTTTTAAATAAAAATAACAGTATTTCAGTACATTTTATATGACAGCTAACTATGCTGTTTAAGAGGTAAATATTATCAGTGGAGGAAAAAAACCTACATTAATCAGCAAATGTACCCATTTCCTTAAAGCTGATCTTTGCATCAGTATTACTCATAACTGTGTAGACAATCTTCCTAGTTTTCAATAGAATTTATGTCCATCATATCTGAAGAAGGTTTTACAGGACTAGGTCAATCTTTCTGATGAAGAATCTTGCAGGACAACACCAACCTAAGGGCCACACATCCCAGACCACCTATTTCAGTATCTTTTGGTTTAGCAGCTCTTGAGGGGATTTTGCTTCAGTGACTTTGTCTAAAATACTTTAAAAATACAATTGCATTTGTGACCTCTTAAGATTCAGTGGCTAAAATGCATTGTTCAAAAATACTTTTTTTTAGTTCTTTATAAACCTGTCACCATCGAAATTTCACTTCACCCTCCATACCTCTTAGATTGTGCTAGACAGTGAATAATTGTTCCCTTTCTCATCTCATCTTAATCCCTTTGCTCATGTAATCATCCTTCTTAGCTGAAGTGTCCTAGGTTCTTTTCAACTGAATTGCCAGAAACAAATATATTACCCTTTTGTCTAAGCTTCTATCTTTCTTTTTAACACATTTCCTAAGTTTCATTGTCCTCTGCCACATGCTGTAGGTGACCCTGCTTGAGCAGGGATGGACTAGATGATCTCTAGAGGTCCCTTCCAACTTCAACCATTCTGTGATTCTCATTTTTGAATTTAAGAATAACTGGAGGAGATTTCTTCACTCCGAGATTACTGAATTTATGCTACGTTCACTATTACACAAAGCTTCTTCAGGGTTAACATTTTGGATCAACTCCCATACAATATGTTCAAGGTTAAGTAAAGGGTTGCATAGCCTCTAAAGAAGTAGGTTCTATAACACATCTCATCGTGACATTCAGCTATCATGACATTCAGAATATTGTACTACTGTCAGGATGAACGATTCCACAGGGAGGGGTCGCCCATAATTCATTATTATAAATGAATGCTTGCAGATCCAGTTAAATTATTTATTTTGACTCAGTGTATTCTCTTTGATGACCATGCCTGCATTGTCACAGCATACTCGAAGACATTTTGCACTAGGCACAAAAATATCATTGACATGAAATATAAGAACTTAAATATTGAAAACCCAAGGATCTGCTTGAAAAAAAAAAAAACATTTAACTGTCCAAACTCCAGCATAACTTCATATCCTTATGAAGTTGACTAGTTCTCTCTTCACTGAATCCTACCTCAATTTCTGCAGAAACTAATTCAGCTTTCAAGTCTTCTTGACGACTTGCCATGTTTATATTTACACTCCTTTCATTCTCCAAAGCCTCTGTAGCCTTTATGTCTCCCTGCATTGCATTCAAAGGAAAACATAATTCTCATTTGAGCAATTTACATATTAGTATAGATTATATATTTTCATACTTCTAAAATTTCAGAATTGTGTCTACAGTAACTGTGATTTTAAAGATACAGTTACAGATGCATCTCTCACAACAGATCAAAGATCACCACCTCAAATAGGTCAAGATTGCCACCTAGACAAATGTTATTGATCTCAGCTAGAACTTCTAAATAAATATACAAAAGACACATTTTGCTTAGAAATGTTTTTCATGCCTGCTTAGAAAATAACCACAGGATAATTACTAAGTGAAATCACTGATTTCTTTCTGTATGTAGGAAGAAAAAAAGCCTATATAAGGAGAAATAGCACTCAAGTGCAATTTAAATACAATATATTCTACGTACTTCTGCGTAGCGTGGTGGCAATAGAAGAGAGACAACAACAACAACAACAAAATTGTTTTTATTAAGTAAAATTTTAAATGAGAAACAGCATCCTTTGGTGACAGCTGGATTATAAAGTAATCTGGCAAAATAACATGTAACTTTCTGTGATAACGCTGCCACTCTTAAGTAAATGTTTACAATTAGTGGTAACAATATTACAGGTCACTTATTTTGTCCAACTTGGAAATCCAATAGTTTTACTGAAATTACTGGATTTCAGTAGAATCCAACATTCTATTGGAACATAAATTCCTATCAAGTGCTGAAAAGCCACCCTCCTGTTCCCCTGGCTAGGCAAGGGCAGCAAACCATAAATCATCAACCTCAGATTTTTATACCTATTGCTGAGTAAGAACCCTCCAAATTACCTAAGACTGGCACCTAACTTTATTTCCCATGCACTCAGGAGCTCTTCTGATATTCAGGGCTCTTACTGACAGTTACCACCTCCGTAAGTAAGCCTTATCATGCATTAAGTTAGTACATGACAGATGCCCCTAACCCCCTGAAACACGTCTTCTGCATCCTATTTCTTCCCAAACTTGGGCAATTAAATTGAAGTTCACAGTAAAATCCTCAGAACAAATGGTTCTAAAAAGATTCAGAGTGAATAAAGAGTTCTACTAAAATGTGGCACAGAATGGACTATTTTCAAGTACTTTCCCTAGATCCACGCTTGAAATCACACCCAGCTCAGAAAAACCAAAGGAGATTTCCTGAATGGATGAAGTTTCCACATATGTTCCCCTGTTCTGAGTTCTTCCAGGCATTTATGCCTAGCTGCTACTGGAAAAAGGTCACAGAGACAGAGATCTTTGTTCTGATTCACAAGATCGATTTTTATGGCATGGTATCTTCACCCTGTACCAGTACAGGCACCTAAACAGCACTTTCATTTCTGCCATTACAACACTGAGAAGAACAAACTACAGGGCTTTATATAACACAAATTGGCTTATTCAAGAAGCAAAAAAGGAAAGAAAAAGTAACACTATCAGAAGACTAACCACATACCATTTTTTCACTTGGAGAAATCAGAACTTCAGCTGACTGATCAACAGTTGCTCCCAGTACTTCCAGTTTCTCTACTCCCTTATGAACTTCACCTTTTCTTTCCGTTTTGGAAACCAGCTACTACCTTTTCTTTCCGTTTTGGAAACCAGCTTGGGAAGATTAGCCTCTTCATGACTATCTTGCTCCTTTGACTTGTAGGTCTCCAATTGCGAAATTAGATCATCTCTTTCCAATCGTAAGGCTTCAAGATCTCTCACATGCTCCCCAATTTGATCTTTCAGTTTTGCAGTGCAACCTTGCAGTTCATCAATTTCTCTCTGATAAACTACTACCTTTTGATTCAGTGTTTGCACCTCGAAATCAAGTCTAGAAACTTCTGACTGAAGATTGTGAACCTCTTGAACTCGATCTACATCTTTCTTTTCCAGCTCAGTTTCAAGTACTGCTACCTTTTTTATCAAGCACTGCATTTCATTTGTGTCAGCTGCTCTTTGATCTGCCATTGCCTTCATCTGCACATCTTTCTCTAGAATATTTGCTTCCCTCTCTCTAACAGTATCTTCAAGTTCTTGAATCTGAGAAGAAATCATCCTTGCTTCAGCCTCTCTCTGAGAAAAGTGTGTTTGGAAAATGTGGTATTCTTTCTGAAGTGTGTCGTACTCTAACCTTAGAGAGACTAGCTCTGCAAAGTGCTGCTTTGATGACTCCTGTTCTTTTTGAAAATTTTGTTCTAAAATTTCCATTTCTATTCTGAACTGTGATTCCTTCTCTTCTAATTGGTGTTGCAAAGCTTCTCGAGCAATTGAGACAAGCTCTAGTTCTTCCTGAAGTTCTTTCACATTGGAGATCAGTGATGTGTTTTTTCTGCTTGGATCAGGATCACCCTGACCATCTACCAACCCCTTCTTCAGCTCATTCTGAAGGTTTTGCACTGGTTCTCCCAAACCAAGCTGATCAAGATAATCTTGGCTGTCACTAACTTCATGACGTATTGGTCCAAACTGTGCCAGCTCTTTTTGAAGCTTCTCAATTACTCCATGAAGCTGTTCTACCTCCTCATCTTTGTCCTTATGCAACCTTTCCTGGTCGCCACGAAGGCGCTCAACAAGAGATCGGAGTTCTTCAATTTCAGATTTTTGGTCTTCCACAGCCTGAGCAAAAGGGTAAGAGTTTTAATACATGCAGGCAAAATTAGTATTGTGCATAAGAGTTAAAATTATTAGAAGGATCATGTTTTTCTGAATCACTTAGGTATTCAGCATTTAACCGCAGAAAGATCTGTGGACTTTAGCCAGCTACCTACTCAAAATTCTCTTTACTATAAGAAACACCTATTAGATTTTATTAGCAATATGATTCTGTGCATTCCCTTCCTCCACTCCAAAATTAAACAGTGGTCATCTAGGAGGTACTCTTACCTTATGGCTCACAGCATTCTCCAGCTCATGCTGAAGTCTCTTCACCTGCTCATTCAGATGATCGATTTCTTGATTCTTTTCATTAAGCAGTGCTTGTGGGAATGACAAAGCTGAGGAATCACTACTATCCTGGTCCTGACTTTGCTTCAGGTGAAGTTTTGTTAGATCCTCCTGAACAGAAGAAACATCAATATGATTACAAGGGACTTTCATCCAAAATAATGGCAGGACAGAACTACGGGCTTTACTTAAATGTTCTTATTACAATGTAACAGAAAAATAGATATATCAGTAAATAATACAGCTACTTCATTTGGATTTATACCGCCTGATTAAATTGGCACAATAGTTGTCAATTTTCAAAGTAAGAGACAAACACTAGCTGCACAATTATCAGCCAAGCAGTTTTAAAACTTAGAACATTTGCTCTGGCTGTAGAAGTTGGAAACACAGCAAGATTGCAGTACTGAACAGCAACACTGTAGTTTGCAATTGAAGAATCACTGAAGTTATTCTGAACAGTTGAGCTCTAAGAAGGATCATCTTTCTGGATGTGCAGGAACTTTAGGATCACAAACTTTATAGCAGCACCTGCATTTGTCTGGAAAGGTGTCCTGGACATGGCCTGCCACTGAAAATCAACTATTCAGTGATACAACCTATAAAAGGCCTATCACAGGTTTCCTCACTGCTTTTATACAGTCTTCCTTTTCGAGGCAAGATACTTCACCTTTCCCACAAAGGAAGAAAGTGTGGTTGTCCCAGTAAGTCTCAAGCAAGTGACTTCTTGTGATTACAGGCCATTGCGTAAATCATCTATCCCATTAAAGGAAAGAGAGACCTTTAAGAAGCAGCAGCTACTGAGTAACTCATGGTATCACTCAGAAACTCAGTATCATTGTCTTCCAGTGAAAGAGAGCACCCAGCAAAAACTCCATCACACCCACTCCATTGGGAATATATGCATTTACAGTAGCAGTGCCTTTTCCCCTCTCATGTATTAGAGTTTTGGAAAGGTCATGGGAACAAAAGGAAGAGGAGAGTGAGACACCATGCTTCAGTTCAGCCTTTTTTAGTGCCTCTTAGACTCACAGAACTGAAGCTAATATCCCTTCTAAACAGTGCCCAGAGCTGTCCACATGCAGGAAAACTCTCAGAATTAGCGAGAGTAAAAAAAAGAGAGAGAGAGAGAAACAAAAACCACTTAAGTTTTGTGTTTAAATCAGATGACCATAGCAGATAATGTCATGAGCATAAATCTATCATTTGTAACAGCAAAAAAATACTGACAACAGAAACTACCAAAACACGCATTTGTAATATTACGAGATAAAGACTCAGTAGGGATTTCTGGAGGTTTAGTTGGACCACACTAAAACTAAAGAAACCTACCTTCAGGTGTGCGTTCTCTGACTGAAGCTGGCTGATGCTGGAAGTGCTAAGGTTTTTTTGCATCTCTAACTGCAAGTTCAGCTGCAATATCTCCTCATTCTTATTGATTAAATTATCTTTACATTGCTCTAGTTGGTCTAGTAAGCTTGCAATCTAAAACAAAGAAAAGCAAAGTTGTTTAATTAAATCCCCTTATTTGAGCAGAAAATATTAAATTTAATTCACCATCTTAATTGCTGCAACTAACTACAGCAAGTTCCATGGCTTAGACTCTCTCTAATCAGTTTACATGAATAAAATACTTGGGACACTTTTAATTAAAAGAGTGCAAACGAGCAAGGAGCTACTGTATTAGCTCCTCAAGTGGAAACCAAAGCTTCCTGGTTTTGGAAGAATTACAAGGCTGACTGTTTGGGTGCCAGTCACAACCCCCTTTAAAAATTTAAAAGTTTATAGTAAATGTCTGGGGTGGAGGGGAGAGGGAAGGAAATCAAGGCGCGACCACAGATACAGTTTGGGGCAACGATTTGAGACATGTTAACCACATCTAATGCCTAAAGGTAATTACAAGCAATTAAGAGAAATTAGACCTGCAATACTAAACCCAATACACAACAATCACTAAAGTTATATTCAATGACTCGTTCAAACTGTAAAAGCAAGATTCAATAATTACACATTACGCAGTTCGTATGAGCTCAAAAGCATTTTTGATTGGCTTAAATTCTCAGCTAACACACAGAATCTTTCTGCAACCCAGGACACTGTTCCTGATCTCTGCAGGGACCTACTAACATGTTAAACTGCTTACCTCCCTATCTTTCATCTCAAGGGCTTCCTGTTCCGCCTGCAGTTGTTCCTTGAGCGCTTGATCAGAACTGCCTTCAGTGGGTACTCTGTGCCTCGCTTCATCCAATTTAGACTGCAGGGCAGAGATCTGAAGCAGGTTATTGTACTGTTGCTGTTGCAATGCTTCTTTATCCTGCAAAATATTTTTTGTGTGTATTAGAACAAATTATCAAGATACATACCCCATCAACGAAGAATGTTCCTGTCAATCGCCCCTAAAGAAAATCCTGGTGCCCCCCATTGACCACTAACAGGGAGTACTCCAGGCACATGAGAGAGGAAAGAAGAAGTTACATGCACAAATCACATCCAGTTCAGATATGAAACTGTGATCTGCATCTAATACCACTGCCAGGAGGGGAGAAAAACACCATCCTGAAAGCAGTACATGAATTTCTTTGGGTAGGAAAGCACCTACCATAAGCTTTTTGGTTGTCCTCAAAAGGAAAACAAAATTTTTTCTTGCTATCACACAAATTCTATCAATCACAGCTACAAGCACCTGAGTCATCCTACTGACACGTGTGAAAGGACCTGCACTAAGGAAATCCAAGCAAGAGCAATGCCTTTTTTTGGTTTGTTTCTATGTCAACACCAAAACTAAGAAGTTATCCACACCATTTTGAAGTTCAGCTTGATATCTGACAACACGCCCCCAGTGACAACTTGCAAGTCCTGATTACTGCAGAATTGGCCTGCTTGTCCCTGCATTTACTGGGCGGGTGCACCTTAGCTCATGGTGTAAGCACAGTTCTGCATGCAAAAGTGTAACATTCTGTGGTTGCCCCAGTGATCCAAGCAACAACCCGTGCAAAACGGGCTTTATGAAACACGTCTTCCTTTGAAGACAAACATTTGGATCCCCACACAGGATGCAGTCTCACATGATATCTTCTTATCCCTCTTCTAAGAGGCACAGGGCAGCAGACTCCCTAACCAAGCCCACTTTGAGAGCCTCAAAGCTAAAAGGAAAGTGATTAGCCTAAGAGGGCCAGCCCTGCTACAGCTGGCAAATACATTTGCATAGTCTTGTAGGAAGGTCATGAATTACTTTATTCATGGCATATGAATTTGGTTTATTTAAGATTTTAAAGAATGACCAATTTAATGGGACATTCAGACAGCTAAAATAATGTCTCAAACTACCATGGATCAAAGCAAGCATGTTTAATAAAACACAAGGGCTTCAGGGACAATTGAGTTAGAGGTACCAAAAGCAGCATCAGCCTCCATGTTCTTCAAGGCAAACCAAAAGTGAAGCAAGTGGTCATGGCTTCTGTGTATTTGTATAAAATCTCAAAACAGCTTAGGCAGAGAAGGGTCTCTAGCACTTTCTGGTCCAATTCTCAGCTCAAAGCAGAACTAGCTTAGAGCAAACTGCTCCAACGGTCTGGCTAGCCAAATTCTGAATATCTAGCAGGAGCAGAGACTCCACCAGCCCTCTGAGATGTCCCCCCTTTCTAACATCTGTATGCCCCATTCGGATATTTGTTCCCTATTATTTAACTGAAATTTCCCCTTGTTGCACTTTTTATGCCCTTAATCTTCTCATGCTTTCCCTGTGCACCTCCAAGAAGAAGCTGGCTCCATCTTTTATATCCTCACATCATATGGTTGTGGACAACAATAAAATCTTTGCTTTTTCTCCATAAGGCTAAAGAAGCCCTGCTCTCTCAGCTTCTCCTCATAAACAATTTCCTCTAGCTTTTGACCATCTTTGCTGCCCCCTCTGCTGACTCACATCAAAACAGCAATGCCTTTTTTGTACCAGGGAATCTCAAACCAGACAGTTCTGTACATGCAATCTCACAAGGCCAATTAGAATGGAATAATAGTACCTAAATGAGCTATGACCGGCCAGTGTATACCACATGCAAGTGATTAAACAAAAGAATGTTTTGTTCAATATTTTTTAAATAATGAAAAGAAATATTTACAGCATTATCAAATAAAATATTAAATTCAGTTTAGACCATGCTACTCTCAAATCCTTTCAAACTCGAAAGATACTTACTGACAATACTTACCTGATCCAAGAGAAATTGCAAGTAGGAAACTAAAACATTTAGCCCAAGAAGGTTACTCAGATGTTTAGTAGCAGATAAATATTTTTTTCTAGTAATTTACTAAATAGAACATAGTTCTTAGCGAACAGATTCTCTAAGCTGTGATCAGATCTGCAGTAGTAAAACGAAACAATGAGATCTTGGGAGGGTGGTGAACAGATCTGGCTCCCGAGACATACAGCAAGAACTGTGGACTACGATCCTGATACAGCCATTGATCCAAACCCACATATTTGATACTGAGCAATACTATCTTCCCTAGGAACTCTCAGAGAAGCAAAAGAGCAGTTCCAATCCATGTAAATACGACAAATGTCAAAAAGGTGTTTTTGTTTAAAACTGTGCTTATAATATCTGCTGTTAATACAACAGCTTAACTCATCACTAAATTCAAAGCACAACCTTAAAGAACATTGTAAAAAAGTCACCGAATTCCAATATGAAAACAACATGTGCATAATTCCTTGTCTAGTTAAAGAGGTATTTAAAAAACTTAAAAGTCATTTAAAAATTACTTGTTTTAATTCTGTTTCCACTTTCTTCATCTTTTGTAGTTGGTGTTCTAAATAGCTCACAGTCTTTGAGACTTCGGTACCGCTGTGCTCCAGTTCTCGTATCTGTGCCACCAGTTTCTCTATTTCTTTATCACGTGCTGTGATTTCTTGATGTTTTTGCTCTGTTTCTAATAATAGCTTACTGTAATCATCCATCTTCTCTCTTATTTCTGCTTGCAAAGATTCTACCTATACAGAAATCACAATATACAGATATTCAGGCAATCTAACATAAATTCTAATTAGAAAGAAGTGTAATTTCACAGCTAAGCAGGTAAAATTTTACAACAGAAAAAAATAGTGCT